CAAACCAGGTCAATCAACAACCGTTGGATCTAAATCTGAACTCAGAACTTCATCTGCCCCCCCACCCCAACCCGGGAAGTACAGGCAGCTGTGTGCACAGCGCCACCTGCTGGCTGATGCCAGCTGCATGTGCAGGCAAGTGTGCTTGCGGGGTGCAGCAGGACACCAGGGCAAACTGCAGCTCACTCTCCTGCCGGCTACCCCGGGAAGTCAGGTGACCTGAATGTTAAAGGCAGCTTTAAACGCCCAAGAGATGTCACCAGAGTACAAGAGCAGAGCTTGCGCTGGTCACAACGAGGACCTTTGTCCAGTGTTTGAATGTGACAAGCGTGCACACAGTGGCCCTCCTCCTGCACAGATCCTGTCCTAATGCTACCACGGTCCCCGTCCCACACTCTTCTCTCACCATCCTGGCTAAAAGCCACCAGAGGTTCCGAAGCAAGTCCGCTGTACCTGGCTGTGCAGGGCCTTCGGAAGGAGGTACAGGATGAGGCCCTGGTCTCAATGGCCACCCATCCAGGCCACTGACTAATGACGGGGCGCCAGCCCTGCCCTTGAGCTGTAGAGATGAAAGGGGCATAGTTGCAGAGGGTAGGTAGGTGGAGCGGGCAGGTCAGGACAGGACCACTTGGCAGCTCAGCCCTCACCCTTTGGGTCCAAAATCACCTCGGTCTCGCTGGCTTTAATCCCCAGTACCATAAAAATAAAGACAATAAATAAGTCAATAAAACAGCTGGGCGTTTGGAACCAAGCACTGGGCGGTGGAGACAGGAGGCTAGGGGCTTCAAAGCTGTCTTCCGCTATGTGGCAAGTTCATGTCCAGCCTGGGCTACAAGAAACCCTGTCTGGGGGGAAAAAGTGTGCAGAGGTTGTAGGGGCGGGGGAGGAAAACCAGATGTGGAGTCTTTTTATGTTTTTTTTTTTTTTTTTTTTTTTTTTTTTGGTTTTTCGAGACAGGGTTTCTCTGTGTAGCTTTGCGCCTTTCCTGGATCTTGCTCTGAAGACCAGGCTGGCCTCGAACTCACAGAGATCCACCTGCCTCTGCCTCCCGAGTGCTGGGATTAAAGGTGTGCGCCACCACCGCCCAGCCAGATGTGGAGTCTTTTATCTTCCACTGAGGGAGGCTTCCTTTCTTGAGTCTGCCTCAGAAAAAGCTAAGTTTGACGCTAAAGGATACCAGGCCCAGGATCCACACACAGACACCCTTAGTACCTGCCCTCGCTGCTTTAGACCAGGCTGGGTCACTGGGTCTGGAGTCACACAGAAAGGCTTCTGCAACTAAGGTGTGGCCAGCCAGACCCGGGCACACGAGTGTCAATCAGCCGCCCACTAACTGCAGAGCGGCTTCCCCCTGCACTCCTCCCATGCCTACTGTGTCGGGTGAATGGAAAGTATCCGGAGCAGAGCCCTCGGGAGAGGCTGAGCCAGAGGGAATGGTCACAGCTAGAAGGCAGGCAGCTGTGATGAAATGGGGCAGAGAGTGAGTCAGGTTGGCTATTTGGAGCAACTCAACGCCTGCGTTGGAGGCCTGATTTCCTCGTGGATGAAATGCACCACGGCATTACACACCAGTGAATGTCAGAGGACTGTCATGAGCAACCAGAGTGAGCGGACTTTGCAAACCATCCGGGTTACATATGTGTTGGTGGTTTTCACCCCGAAGTATGGGGGTGTGAGGAAATGTGTGAAAACGGCCACGGGGGTGTCTTTTAATGGGAAGCACTCAAGAGCTCAGAGGGCAACGATCAACGAAGTGTAAGACCACACAGCCAAAGGGCAGACCTGCTGTTCTAGAGCAGCCAGTGGAAACTCAAGGTCAGTTAGGAGAGGCAGCTGTGGGTAGAGCTCAGTGCCATAGCTAAATGGTAGAGCACCTGCCTAGCATGCAGGAGGCCCTGGGTTCAACCTCCAGTACCACAAAAATGTAAGTAATAAATATAGCTTCACAGCTGGGCATGCTGTCGCCCAGCACTCTGGCCAAGGAGGCAGGAGGATTTGAGAGTTCAAGGCCATTCTCTGCAACATGGCAAGTTTGTAGCCAGTCTGGGCTACATGAGACCAGAAAAAAAAAAAAGAGCCAAATGTGGGGTCCTTATCCTGGGTCGGCCTCCACGACCTAAGGACCTCCAGTGCTGTATGAAGGGAGAAGTTCGGAGACCCTAGGGAGGGGAAAGAGGCCAGCTACGGAGAGACATCTACAGACCTCCATCACCAGGGTCTCATCCCAGAGATGGAGGGACCATGAGAGACATGGAGAGACATCTACAGACCTCCATCACCAGGGTCTCATCCCAGAGATGGAGGGACCATGAGAGACATGGAGAGACATCTACAGACCTCCATCACCAGGATCTCATCCCAGAGATGGAGGGACCATGAGAGACATGGAGAGACATCTACAGGACTCCATCACCAGGGTCTCATCCCAGAGATGGAGGGACCATGAGAGACATGGAGAGACATCTACAGACCTCCATCACCAGGATCTCATCCCAGAGATGGAGGGACCATGAGAGACATGGAGAGACATCTACAGACCTCCATCACCAGGGTCTCATCCCAGAGATAGAGGGACCATGAGAGACATGGAGAGACATCTACAGACCTCCATCACCAGGGTGTCATCCCAGAGATGGAGGGACCATGAGAGACATGGAGAGACATCTACAGACCTCCATCACCAGGGTCTCATCCCAGAGATGGAGGGACCATGAGAGACATGGAGAGACATCTACAGACCTCCATCACCAGGGTCTCATCCCAGAGATGGAGGGACCATGAGAGACATGGAGAGACATCTACAGACCTCCATCACCAGGGTCTCATCCCAGAGATGGAGGGACCATGAGAGACATGGAGAGACATCTACAGACCTCCATCACCAGGGTCTCATCCCAGAGATGGAGGGACCATGAGAGACATGGAGAGACATCTACAGGACTCCATCACCAGGGTCTCATCCCAGAGATGGAGGGACCATGAGAGACATGGAGAGACATCTACAGGACTCCATCACCAGGATCTCATCCCAGAGATGGAGGGACCATGAGAGACATGGAGAGACATCTACAGGACTCCATCACCAGGATCTCATCCCAGAGATGGAGGGACCATGAGAGACATGGAGAGACATCTACAGACCTCCATCACCAGGGTCTCATCCCAGAGATGGAGGGACCATGAGAGACATGGAGAGACATCTACAGACCTCCATCACCAGGATCTCATCCCAGAGATGGAGGGACCATGAGAGACATGGAGAGACATCTACAGGACTCCATCACCAGGGTCTCATCCCAGAGATGGAGGGACCATGAGAGACATGGAGAGACATCTACAGGACTCCATCACCAGGGTCTCATCCCAGAGATGGAGGGACCATGAGAGACATGGAGAGATATCTACAGACCTCCATCACCAGGGTGTCATCCCAGAGATGGAGGGACCATGAGAGACAGGGGAACCAGGTCCTGAAGGATGCCAGAGGCTGGAAACCTTGTCTGTTGATTGCATTATCCCTTTCTCCCCAAGTCTCCCCACAAAACAACCTCTAAGGAGGAAACATACCTGCTTTCCTGACACATCCTGAGCTGACTTCTCTGGCTCAGTTTTCCCTTCTGAAGAAAACTAGGGTGGGGGAGGTGGGTGGACAGAAACAGCTCAGCAGGGCAGGCCCCCCATGACAAACAGTTTGGGTGGACCCGTGTTTTATGCACCCTAACAGCACTGCATGGAGCCACATTCCTAAATGCCTTTTTATATGACACAGGGTTTCTCTGGGTATCCCAGGCTGGCTGACACAGTGATGCTCCTGTCTTGATAGAAGTAGAAACCAATGCACTCTACCACTAAACCACTTCCCCAGGCCCATATACATACATACATATATATGTATACACACACACACACACACATATATTTTGAGATAGACTCTCACTATGTAGCCTTCGCTGGCCTTGAACTCAGAGATCTGCCTCCCAGGTGCTGGGATCAAAGGTTTGGGCCTATACCACCACACCCAGCCTTTTGCTTGTGAGCAAGGAGGAACGTGTGGAAGTCAGGGGATAGCTTGCTGGGGTCAGTTCTTACTTTCTGCCACATAGATCCCAGGGACGGAACTCAGGTCGTGAGACTTAGCAAGCAGCTTGCTTTGCCCACGAAAACATCTCACCAATCCCCCATTTTAAAAAATAATATTTGATGTTTTTGTGTGCTCTGTGTCGTCTGCGTGTGTGTGACATCTGCTGGACAGCCTCTGGTGTAGCCCTTACGAAGGCTGTCCACCTTGACACAGGTTCTCTCATGGGCTGGGGCCTAAAAACTAGGGCTAGGCTGTGTGGCCGGTCTCGTGCCAGGATTATGAGCAGGCAGCAAGCGTAGTGTTTTCATGTGGGCTCTGGGGATCCAGCTTTAAGGCCAGCACTTCAGGGACTGAGCCCCCGTTCCCCCCCCCCCCCCGCCCCTGCACCTAGGGCTGACTGAGCTCAAGTCCTTGTGTTGGCAAGGCAAGCACTCTCCCATCTGAGACACGCCCAGCCCGTGTGCTCTCTGCCGCCTTTGACCCCTCACCTCTTCTGAACTGTAATTATTCTTACTTCCGTTCACAAATCCCCGTGTTTTTTGTTCCCGTAGGAGGTGGGGTCTCATGTAGCCAAGCTGGCCTTCAACTGTGTTCCTCCTCCCTGCACTTCCTCAGTGCTGGAACTGGAGGCTGGTACCACAACGCCAGGCCTCGGACTATGGCCTGGCCCAGCACAGGAACCACAAAAGGAACACATGGCCGCCTCCATTCCTCACGGCTGCCTGATGAAGTGGGATCACCATCAGGCCCAGAAGAAGAAACAGGCTCAGAGAATCAAAGAGGCTTGCTTAAGGGCAGTTTATCATCTGGCTTCACCTCTGGGCTCCGTACCCTGTGCTTGGCACTGTCCAGCTGAGCACTCCCAGAGTCCCATGATGCCCAGGGAAGGTCCAAGTCACCAAACAGCTGCAGAGCAGGGGCCAGTCCAAACTGGATGTTTATTTGCCATGCCAAGTGAGACCAAGCCCCTCCCCACCCACCCCAGAGCACTCCATAACTGGGAGGCCACACCCCACTCCTCAAGCCTTGATACTGCCATTGAATTAGCAGACTCTTTCCTAAAACTCGGCTTAGGGGAACAGTTATAGGCCAGTGCTGTTGATGGGCGTGGCTTCATGAACACAGTGGATCTGTCACCCTGTCTGAGCCACCTGGGTGGTTCACCTATTGTCCCAACTACCTCGTACTTCAGTTAGTACCACAGATCACAGAGGCCCAACATCCTGCTCCCTCGGGGAGCTTCCTCATGTCTGCCTGCTGTCATATGAGATGGACCACTCCTCTGCTCTTCCTTTCTCTTCTGCCTTGACCTGGTCCCAGGAATCCAGTCAGTCTTCACCTGAACAATTATTGTCCCTGATATATTTGACATAACACACAAAAGAGGAGATATATATATATATATATATATATATATATATATATATATATATATATGTATGTATATATTCCAACTCACTAGTATAACCCTGGACTGCCCAGGCAAAGGACAAATGGTCTCCCTTGCTCTGAACTGGCCTCTGCACACTACTCTTGACTTTCCAAGACCCATCTCCATGTTGGCAGCACACTCCCTGGACCTTGTGGCTCCTTGGGCCCACCCCCTGAATCAGGACTGAATCAGGGCCTGGATGGAAAAGCATGTCCCATCCCAAGCTCTCTCAAGGCCTTCTCACGGTTAAGAGCCAAGGCCAAGGAGAAGGCCAGTGCATAAGGCACTGTTGTAGAGACCTCTCTGTGTTATGCAAGCAGTCTTGATCTATTCCAAGTGCCCAAGAAGACCAGCTAGCTATTACCTGTTGGGGGCGGGGCCCTCACATTGTGAGGCTCTGACAGGCGAACTGTCACCCCCACGGGTTTCAATTCAGCCTTGAGGCCCAGCTCTTCTTTTAGAACCTGCGTGTCAACTGGTTTCAATAAACCTTGCTAAAGCGGACAGTACCAGATAGCAGAAACAGGGCGCGGGCCCAGAAAGCTCCTCCTTCCCCCTCCCATCCCTATCCGCCAACAGTACATAGCCAAGCTGTCCCTCGGTGCTTTCGGAAGAAGCAGACATGTTTCCATCTTCCACAGGCCACTCACACATCGGCCTGTCTGTGTCTGTCTTCCAGAGCAAAGGCTCTCAGTGGTGTGAGCCGGGACCTATAATACCTGGTGCGACCTCCCACCCCCCACAAAACAACTGCCCGAATCCAACCCCTAGAAGTCAGCCGAGTGGCCCACTGCTCAGGAGGTGGCTTTCCGATGGGTTCCAGGGTAGGCGTAGGAGATGGGATGGCGCGTCCCTGGCCTCACGGTGAACGTATTGATGGGATTTCCGTAGTGGGTGGTGCCGTGGGGAGACCTGGAGGGAGCGCAAGAGGGGAGCGGTGAAGGTTCACAGGCAGCTGGTTGGTCCCCACTCTACCCACCTCCCTTAGAACATGACATTTTAAAATGTGATGTGATGGACCTCTGGACTCCAGGGGGTACCAAGTGCATCAGACAGACACCCCTGGTACCCTGTGCTCACTCAGACTCCTTGGCTCCCAGCCTGCGTCTCTATCCATCTTTCCAGCTGGTCCGCTAGGTCTCCCTCTCCTCAACCCTGACTTGAAGCCCTGAAACTCCAGAGGGCGCGAGGAGAGTGAAGAGGAGTGTTGGGAAGTAAGGAGCCGGCCAACAGCACCCTCTCCAGGTATCTGGGCCTTTCTCCATTCTCTCCTAGTCGCAAGCTATGGCCGTGGGCGTGGCATTAACTCTGTTCACGCATCCCACGTCGCGAACCCCCCCGGAGATCCTTCCCCAGCTCACCTGCTGCCTTTGGCTGGGACGAAGCCATAGTCGCCGGCTTTGCTGCTGCCACCACCGGCTCCGCCGCCCGGCGCCTTGTACTTGACCTCGGCTGCGCCTCGGGCGCCCTCCAGCGACAGCCTCCGCGCGTGCAGGCCTCCGGGGGCCCCGCGGCCCGCCGAGTTGACCCGTCGCATCTCGGGGCCTCCGGGCTGCGGCCCGAAGCAGTTAGGGGAGCTCAGGCTGCGGCCAGTGGCGCCGCGGGGCGTCCCGGGGTTGCGGTGGGGCTCCCCGACGTACAGGCGTTTCTTGATGAGCGAGCGTCCGCTGCCGGAGAAGCGATCCAGGCCCCCGAGCCCGGGGTATTGGGCGCCGCCGGGAAAGCGCGAGAAGCCGCGAGCCGCATTGGCCCCGGGGCCCGCGTCCAGGGGCTGCCCCAGGTCCGAGAAGTGGTTCCTGGGTGGGGACCCGCGACGGCCCTGATGCTGCAGCCCGGGGGCGGGGGGCTCAGGGTCGTTGCTGAACTCTGGCGGCGGCGGAATGATATCGAAGCTGAACTCCTCTTCTTCCTCTTCCCTCTTGTAGGAAGGAGAGGGCGGAGAAGAGAAGGATTTGGGGAGGGCGCGGCTCGGGGGCAAGCCTGAGGGAGCGGGTCTTTCCCGGGCCACAGCGGTCGGGGACTCGGCCTTGGTCCACGCATGCCTATGGGTTGGCTCTGGGCCCTGTGTGTCTCGCCCCTGCTGGGGCTTCCACTGACTGGGTCCAGCGGGCCGTGCTGAGGTCAGGTGGGAGCCCTCTGTCTCGCTGGGTACCTTAGGGACCACGAGGAAGGAGTTGGGCCGGCTACCTCGGTAAAAGATGCTGTCAGAGCCGGCCTCTGTTTGGTTGCTATGGTCACGGAGACTCCCTGGCAGAGAGGACCGGCCCAGTCCCATCGCAGGCCCTCCAGGCCTGGTCTTCTGTGCCCTCTGTCTGGCTGCGAGGAGCAGGGCCATTGGGGAGCCCCGCTCTACCACCTCCCCAGTCACCGGGTGTCTGAGGAGTTGGTCGGCAGGCTGGACTGGGGTGAGAGGTTTGGCTGGATGGCTTTCCGGCTCCTTTTCATCCGCGTGTCCCCCGGAGCCTGTGGCCTCCCCTCTGGCCCGAGTGGGAATTACCACGGCAACCCCTCGGCTGTGGCTGTTCTGGCTGCGATGGGGTCTGTAGAGAAATGGTACCTCCTCTCCACCAGTGGACTTCTTTGGCGGGAGGGCTGGAGGTGAGAGCGCTCCATTTGTGGACAGTTGGGTGGCCACTGCATTTTCTTGAGATTCTGGCTTTTCTCTCTGCCTCACTGGGACAAGGTCCTTCTTGGCAATCAGCTGAGATGATGGGATGGACAGCTCAGGTGTGTCCTTGGGTGGTGTGACCTGCCCAGGTGTGTCCTTGGGTGGTGTGACCTGCCCTGGTGGGTCCTTGGGTGCTGTGGCCTGCCCAACTGTGTCCTTGGGTGCTGTGGCCCACCCAACTGTGTCCTTGGGTGATGTGGTCTGCTCAGGTGTAGGCTTGATTGGCAAGGCCGGCCCAGGTGTGGTCTTAGGCAGTATGGCCTGCCCGGGCGCAGGCTTGAATGGTGTGGCTGGCCCAGTTGTGGCCTTGGGTGGGGCTGCTGGACCAGGTGTAAGCTTGGACTGGAGTGTCGTCGACAGCTGGGGTGGATTCTTGGTGACAGGCTTATGGAATCTGCCACTCTCAGGGCCGTTTTCAAAGATTCTCCCCGCTTCCAGCCGGGGTTTGGGTGGCAGAGATCCCATGCTGGGCTTGGCCTCTTTCTCCGCTGAGGAGGCAAAGCGAGCCTCTAGCTCATTCCGGATCTGCCTGACACTGGGGGCTGGAGTACCCTGGGGGATGTAGTCCACAGGGGGTAGGGTCAGGCTGCTGGTGGCTTCTCTCTCTGGTAGGCTGCTGCTGGAGGGGCTCTTCACAGGACCACATGGGTGTGTCTTCTCGGGCAGGCTTGGAGGAGCTGTCTCCTCTGATAGGCTGGGCCCCTTCTTGCTCTCCTTGTCCTTCAAGGCCACTGGAGGGACTGACCTGTGGCTGAGTGACCGATCCTCTTTCCTGGACCCACAGAGATAGGCTGCCAACTCGCTTCGAAGTTTTTCCATCTGCCTGGGGTCTCTCCAGTCAACTGGTTCTGACGAGTCTGTGTCCTCCAGAGTCGGGGGGTTGGGTTTGGCGTGGAGAGTAGGTGAGCTGGACTTGGGGGTCTTCATAAGTCCAGAAGATGGAGGGGCTGCTTGCTCAGTAGAAGGCAAAGGAGGAGCTGGGGGCAGAGAGGGTGCTGGTGGAGGGAGTGGGGGAGCAGCTAGAGGCAGGGGAGGGGCTGGTGGAGGGAGTGGGGGAGCAGCTGGAGGCAGGGGAGGGGCTGGTGGAGGGAGTGGGGGAGCAGCTGGGGGCAGAGAGGGTGCTGGTGGAGGGAGTGGGGGAGCAGCTGGGGGCAGGGGAGGGGCTGGAGGTGGAACTCCAGCTTGTCCATTGGTCTGGGGTTCAGACTGCCTGAGCCTTGGGCTGCCTGATGTCTCAAGCCTGGGCTCTCTGGGGTGCTCTGGCTCTGGGGCCCTGTCTGGATAAACTTGAGATGCAGGGCGGATGTTGAAGCTGGGAGGCAGGGGGAGGTGTGTCGAGGCCTTCTGGCTGGCTTCCTCCTCTTCTGGGGAAGCCCCTGGTGCTTCCTGAACCGGGATAGATGAGGTCCTGACTGGAGTTGGGGGAGGCACCTTGAATGACCTGGGGAAGGTGAGGTGGGATTCGGGGCTAGGCCCTAGGTAGCTCCCCTTCAGTTCAGCAGGGCTTTTGGGGGGGCTGGTTCTGGGGTCTTCTGGCTGCCTGCCATTGAGTGCTACTTCTGATTTCCACTTGATAATACGTGTTCCAGTTGCATGAGGAGAGACTGGGGTCGGGGGTCCTGGGGCTGGCAAAGAAGGCGGAGGGGGGTTTAGGAAAGCTGAGGGTGGAGCGGGGGGGATGAAGTCTGGAGGGGTAGGTGTCGATGGTGGGGAGAGGGTAGCTGAGGGAGATAAAGTGTCCAATACTGGGGGTGGAGGTGGGGCTGTACTGGGTGGGGGTGGGGGTTCCACCAGAAGGGGAGGGGGAGGAGGAGGGACCGACGGAGGTGGTGGTGGAGGAGACTCCCCTGGAGGCTGTGAAGTGTCCTGGGGTGGCCCTGGGGCTGGGCCTGGGGGAGGTGGGGGGATGGATGAGTCGAGGTCATAGTGTACAGGCCTCAGGTCGCCCACAGAGCTGTACAGTCGGAGGTTGCCGTTCACCAGTGAGCTGGTACCTGGAAGAAGGGAGGCAGAGAGGTGGAGCTGAGCCAGTCTCCCTCCCTCTTCTAACAAGGCTTTCTTTTTCTGTCTGTTTCTTGCTTTCATGTGTGTGTAGGGGGTGGGGGTTACCATGGCATGGCTGTGGCCGTCTGAGGACAACTATGGGAATACGTTCTCTCCTCCCACCACTGAACTCGGCTCAGATTTGGTGGCTCACCTTACCTGCCGAGCCATCTTTTCAACCCAAAGCCAATCTCTGTGCCGGGCACAGGAGGAGGGGCTGGCCAAGAGAAACACTAATTCTCCCAATTCTTCCATCCCAAACCTGACCGAGGAAGCAGCAATGCCCCTCTGTCCTGAGCTGTCCTAGGAGCAGTCGGTCCTCTGTTACTGTAATGGGGTGACTCCCACTCCAGGCCCTGGAGCAGGCTTTGTGGCTTACACTAAATCGTGTAAGCCCGTGGAAAGAGTTCTTTGAGGTTACTGTGGTTCCCAGTGACTCAGGGAAGCCAGGTGTGGTGGCTCATTCCTACAATCTCAACAGTTGAGAAACTGAGGCAGGAGAATTGCCATGAGTTCAAGGCCAGCCTGGGCTACAGAATGAGACTGTCTCAAACAAACAAGAACAAAAAGAAAGAGAGGGAAGCTGGGGAGATGACCCCGTGAGTAAGGCCTGCAGTGCGAACATGACGACCTGGGTTCGGAGCCCCGGCACCCACAAAGCTGGTGTGGTGGCCTCCTGTCAGCAGTGCCGGGAAGCAGGGGCAGGCCAGTCACCTGGGCCCCGCTGGCCACCTGGTCCTGCCCAATTCTAAGATCCAGGTTCAGTTAGAGACCCTGCCTCAAAAAAATAGGGTGGAAAGAGAAGAGAGAAAACACCTGATACCGACTTCTGGCCTCCTCACACACCTGCACATGCATACTACACACACACACACACACACACACACACACACACACACACACATACATACACACAAACATGTACACATGCATACTATATATACACACAAACAGGTGCACATGCATACTATATACACACACACTAACAGATACACATACATACTATACACACACAAACACACTAACAGGTGCACATGCACATTAAAAAAAAAGGAACCAGGCAGCGGTGGCACACACCTTTAATCCCAGCACTTGGGAAGCAGACAGGTGGATCTCTGTGAGTTCAAGGCCAGCTTGGTCTAGAGAGTGAGTTCCAGGACAGCCAGGGCTACACAGAGAAACCCTGTCTCGAAAAAACAAACAAACAAAAAAACAAAAAAAGGAAGAGGGGACAAATCAGGGACCACGGAGAGGTGGGCATGGGTGAAAACGAGGAAGCCGCCTCACAAACAGACGACTCATGCTTTTGGGAGCCGGAGACTGTAGGAACCCACTTAGTCACATCGTTTAGAACATCTGCGGCAGGGTCTGGACTGATGGATGGCGCAGAGGAAGGAAGGTACCCAGGGCAATGTGGCTACAGAGATGGACACCTGGACGCAGAAGAGTCTACCTCCCTCCTTCACACTTATCTTTCCTTCTCCCACCTCAAAGTGCTTAGCAGAGAGCAGCAGGCCTGGAGAAGAGGTGCCTGGGAAGGTGTCTCTTAGCTGCGTGATCCTGAACAAGGGGGGCCTGGAATGGAGCACCTGGGGTCCCGACAGCAGTGAACAGATACCACTCACTAAAGCTTATTCTTGTTTGTTTTGTCCTAGGGTTCAAACCCAGGGCTTTGTTCCTGCTAGGTGATGTTGACCTCTGGCCTCCACACACTCTGCAACTTGCTATATGCTCAGCCCCTAAACTTTATTCGTTAAGGGGTCAACCAGACAGACCATGGACACCATACATTAGTAAATCATTACCATGGTAAAGGCAGTAAGAAAATCAGCAGGGGAAGGGTGCTGAGGGGTGTCATTTCATTAGGAAGGCTCCACTGAGAAGGTGACCTTGGAGCAGAGGGGTGGCAGGAGGGGCTGAGATGCAGGCCCTGGGGTGAGAACCTGAGTAGGCTAATTAAGGAAATCCCACATGGCCATGCGGGGAGGGGCAGGGAAGCAGTGAGATCCCAGCAGTCTTCGTAACCTTTGCTCTGCGTGACATGGGATGTGCCTGGCCAGGTGTGAGCAGACCACGTGGCTTCCATCCATCCCACACATTCAGTCCTCCAGGGTTGGCACCGCTGTTCCCAGGCAGGGCGAGCGTCCCAGGGACAGAGCTAATCAGGGTAGAGCTGAGACAGATTTGTCTGACCCCAGAGGTCTTGCTGTGACCTGGTCCGCCCCTTTCCCCACTTCCTCAAATGGGTCTTAGCCGACCACGGCTCTTGGCATCTCCCAGCCCACTGTTGTCACCCACCTCGGCCAGTGGCTAAGAGGCCCCCGACTCTGACTTTGTCTCCCGCTGGGAAGGTGGAGTAGGTGTCTGTTTTTTGGCGTTCAGGCCCAGAGGAAGGAAAGATGGAGAAGCCACAAGATCAGAGTCCTCTTACCTTCTACTTCTTTGCCTGCAAAGCCCTCCGGGACTGAGGGGGTGGGCACAGCCAGCCCGTGGGTCTCCTGGGCATTCTGAAAGAGACCAGAAAGAGGTCAGGGCACATGGAGAGATGGCTGCATGGCCAGCCGGAGCTCTGATCCCAGCTGCGAGTCCGCTGTATTGCTGAAGAAATCGCAGGGATGGCGGTAACTGCACAACCTCGTGAGTGTATGAAAACACTAGAGTGAATTCGTTGAGTTTAGATCCATTTCATGAATTCATTGTGTGTGCAGTGCCCATAGAGGTCAGAAGAGGCCAAACTAGAGGTACACACACTTGAGAACGTCCATGTGGGTCCTGGGTCCCCTGCAAGAGCAGCAGGTGCTCTTTTTTTTTTTTTTAATTTCTACCCAGTGCTGGGAACTGAACTCTGGTCCTCTGCAAGAGCAGAGCAGATTGTGCTCTTAACAGCCAAGCCATCTGTCTAGCCTTACACACTTTTCTTCTTCTTCTTCTTCTTCTTCTTCTTCTTCTTCTTCTTCTTCTTCTTCTTCTTCTTCTTCTTCTCCTTCTCCTTCTCCTTCTCCTTCTCCTTCTCCTTCTCCTTCTCCTTCTCCTTCTCCTTCTCCTTCTCCTTCTCCTTCTCCTTCTCCTTCTCCTTCTCCTTCTCCTTCTCCTTCTTCTTCTCCTTCTCCTTCTCCTTCTTCTTTTTAAACAATTTATTTAATTTTATTTTATGTGCATTGGAATGAAGGTATCAGGCCCCTGGAACTGGAGTTACAGACAGTTGTGAGCCGCCATGTGGATACTGGGAATTGAACCCGGGTCCTCTGGAAGAACAACAATCAGTGCTCTTAACCACTGAGCCATCTCTCCAGCCCCCAGCAGGTGCTCTTAACTGATAAATCATCTCTCCAGCCCTAAGAGTGGATTTTACATGATGAATCTGGGCTGGAGATATATTTCAATTGGTAGTGTTGGCCTAGTATACACAGAGCCCTGAGTTCGAGGCCCGGCACTGCAAAAAACGATACCTGTCATCTCAGTACACAGGGTAGGAAGTTCAAGGACATCCTCAGCTGTATAGTGAGTTTGACGCCAGCTTGAGAGACATGAGGCTTAAAAAAAAAAAGCAAAGTGTCCTATTGTCTGTCCTCAGCTAGAAATGTATGCTTTGGGGCTGCCAGTCAAATTGTTCATCTCTCTATGCATGTATGAGAACAACCTCATAGCAACGTAAGTATTAGCTGTCTAGTTACAGATTTGCAAACCTGGAATCAGCAAGGACGAAGATCAGCTATACATGAATGAAAATCTCAATTAAAAACAAACCAAGAGCCGGGCGGTGGTGGCGCACGCCTTTAATCCCAGCACTCGGGAGGCAGAGCCAGGCGGATCTTTGTGAGTTCGAGGCCAGCCTGGTCTACAGAGCGAGATCCAGGAAAGGCGCAAAGCTCCACAGAGAAACCCTGTCTTGAAAAACCAAAAAAAAAAAAAACAACAACAACAACAACAAAAAAAAACAAACCAAGGAGCCGGGCATGGTGGCACATGCCTTTATTTCTAGATCAAAGCCATCCTGGTCTATATAGTAAGTTCCAGGCTATAGTAAGACCCTGTCAAAACAAAAACAAGGGCTGGTGATGGCTTGGAGGGTAAAGGTGCTTGCTGCCAAGGCCGATGACCTGAGCTGAGCTGGGTCTCTGGGACCCAGAAGGGAAGGAGAGAACCAATTCCTGGAAACTGACCCCAAACCTAAGGAAAGAACCCTGCAGTGACTACTTCTAGCCACCCAGTGGCCAAAAGCTAACATCCACATCCCGACCTCCTGTTTACTCCAGGCTTTCATCAGGAATTTACAGGAAAAAAATAAGTGGTGAACCGGGCTTTGGAAGCAGTGCAGGTGCCTTCTGATCTCCAAAGGGAACAGAGCAGAACTGTTTACACAGGTGTCAGCTTGTGAGCTGGTTTGCATCCTATTGCCCCCAACACACATTTCCATAGATCAACAAAGTGCGCACACCTGCGGCTCTGAAGATCGGCTGAGCTCCACACGGTGCTTTTGAAGGGTCTCAGTGGCCTGGCCTCTGGTCCCCAAGCCTACTCTGCGTTCCCACTGGACTATTACAGCATCTCACATTCTCCTCTGACAGTCTCCCTCCCTCCCTCCCTCCCTCCCTCCCTCCCTCCCTCCCATCTTCCCTCCCATCTCAGTCTGTGTTCCTCCTGGGGCTGGGATTGGGCTAGCTCTATTCCCCCTCCCTCCCTCCCTCTCTCCCTCCCTCCCTCTCTTCCCTCTATTTCTCTTCTTTCTGCTTCCTTTCTTTTGTGGTAGCACAGACTGACCTTCCTTTAAGTCACTATGGAGCAAAGATGACCTTGAACTTCTGGTTTTCCTGCCTTCACCTTCCAGTGCCTCATGGTGATTCCGGAGATCACCAGCACACTTGGCTCCTGTGGTCCTGGGGATCAAACCCAGGGCTTTGTGCATGCTAGGCAGGCACTCTATCCACTGAGCCGCCACATCCCCAGTGCCCCCGTTCATCTCTAATAATAAGAACGCTCCTGTGAACACACCCTCTTAGTCACCCTCGATGAAAAGATGTCCCCTGTGTTTACTAGATGAGGAAATGGCACTCAGAAGCATTTGAGAAGTAACTTAAAACATACAGCTGGACTACCAAAGCCAGGTCCGTGGAGCCCCCGCTGGGCATTTGGCTCTCCACAGCCGCCCCCGAGGACTAGCTGCACTGTCTGTTGTAAATGGGCAAGAGTTGCGAGCTCAGGCTTTGGAGTCTGGGAACTGAGGCAAAGCCTCAAGAAGAGGCTTTGGGGCTGGGGATATGGCTCTGTGGGGAAAGTACTTACTATGTAAGCATGAGACCCGAGTTCAATACCCTAGAACCCACGTAAAGCCTAGCCTGGGTGCAACAAGAGACCCTGCTTCAAACAAGATCCAAGGTGAGAATCAACACCCGAGGGTGTCCTCTGACTCACACACATGCTGTGGCTGGCACACACACACACACACACACACACACACACACACATGCACACACACACACACACACACACACACACACACACACACACACAAGCACAGGAACATTTAAAAATGTTTAATCACACATTAAAAGGCTTAGCCGGACATTGTGGTGTACATTTGTAATTCTAGCACTTGGGAAGTAGAGGCAGGAGGATCACGTTTAACAGTAACCGGGGCTATATGAGACCCTGTCTCAGAAAAATAAAAACAAAGTTATATCCTTCCTCTGGGCCAACAAGGTGGCTTAGACAATAATGTGTTTGCTGCCCAAGAATGCAAGCCTACAAACTGAATTCAATTCCCAGAACCCCATAAAGGTGGAAGGAGAGAAGTAAGTCCACAAAGTTGTCCTCTGACCTGTGAATATGCAGTTATGCATCATATACATGTGTGTGTATGTGTGTGTGTGATATGATACACATGCACACACAATAATAATGAAAATTAAAGAGGAGGGAAGAGGGCCAGGGAGATGCTTGAAGGTAAAACCTCTTACAGTGCAAACCGACAACCCAAGCGAGATCCCCCAAACCCACACAAAAAGCTGGATGCCGTGGTGTGCACTTATGAGGCGGGAGGCAGAGGCAGGAGGATTGACAGGAAGGTGTTGGGTCTGCTATCCTAGAGGACACTGCAGTGCCCCAAACAAGAGAGACCCAGCCTCAGACGAGGTGGAAGGCAAGGGCGACTCCCAAAAGCTGACCTCTGACCATGTTTTGTGAGGCTGGCTCGTAGGGTGCTCCTCCTGTGACTTCCTCACCTAGGCTGTGGGGATGGCGACATGGACACCTCTGGATACTCAGGCCACCCGGCCAGGATGGGGTGTGAGGCCTCGGGTGGTTGTCTAACTCCAGAGATTTGACAGGGACGTGCAATAGAGGACGAGGAAGGCCAGGAAGGAGTTCTCAGAAGCAGTTTCCGGAAGCCACAAGCCAGCAGTCAGTGTGTGCGTGCGTGCGTGCGTGTGTGTGTGTGTGTGTGTATGTGTGTGTGTGTGCGTGTGTGCGTGCGTGTGGTATGGTGTGTGTGTGTATGGTGTGTGTGGTATGTATATGTGGTGTGTGTGTGCGTGTGTGTGTGTGTGTGTGGTATGGTGTGTGTGTGCGTGTGTGTGGTATGGTGTGTGTGTGTGCGTGTGTGTGTGCGTGTGTGTGTGTGTGTGTGTATGTGGTATGGGTGTGTGTGCGTGTGTGTGGTATGGTGTGTGTGTGTGGTATGGTGTGTGTGTGTGTGGACGGTGTGTGTGGTATGTATATGTGATGTGTGTGTATGTGTGTGTGTGTGTGTGTGTGTGTGTATTATGTGTGTGGTATGTATATGTGATGTGTGTGTATGTGTGTGTGTGTGTGTGTGTGTGTGTGTGTGTGTATTATGTGTGTGGTATGTATATGTGGTGTGTGTGTGTGTGTGTGTGTTATGGTGTGTGTGCGTGTATGGTGTGTGTGGTATGCGGTGTGTGTATGTATGTATGGTGTGTGTGTATGGTGGGTGTGGTACGTGTATGTAGTGTGGTGTGTGTGCATGTGTGTGGTGTATGTACGTGTGTGTTGCCCTCTTCACCTCAGCACCACCTATCCTTGGCCTCTCGCTCTGATAAAAGAGCACATTGTCCAAGACGCTGTGTGTGGGGATCAGCCTGTGTCTCAGTGCACTGTGAGTAAGGGGTGGCCGTCCACCTCTCCGTGGAGAGAACTGGCCTATGGGCAACAAGCGAAGAGCACTCAGAGGAGCATCTGGGCCGTCGGGGCCACACCCTCTTGCTGTGGCAGGCACCCTCACACAGTGCCCGGGGCAGAGTCCAGCTTAGCTCTGCCAGTCAAGAACGTCATGAAACTGGGCCTCAGCACTTCCTTGTCTCCCCAACCAGACGACACCCAGAAGTACAGCCGTGGACCGCCTTGCTCCCTTCACAGAGGTCCATGGCGGTGCCTGAGCTCAGGGAGGTCACGGCCAATGAGCCAACTGTGTGGGCAGGGCTGGCAGTGGACAGAAGCACCACTCTGAGGAGACCCACACTGTTTTCTTCCTTCCTTCCTTCTCCAGTTC